GTCGGTCAGGAAAGAGGCTTTAGAGCGGTGGAACTGGCACTCAAATTTCAGCGTGTTTCCTCCGCACTGCCCCAGCTGCACAGGAGTGATTTGTAGTCGCTAGACATGTCCCAAGAAACACCTGCAATGTAGGAGGTTTTCTGCAGGTCAGAGTAGCAGATGGCTACATGATGCCTCCTCCTGAACCTTTCCATTTGAGAACGTCATGGTTTGTAGTGGGTGCTGCAGGTCAGGCCTTGAGCTCTGCTGGGGCTGCCAGTAGAGCTCCTTGGACCCTTTGCAATCCAGCCCTGACTGACTGTCTGAAAAACCTTATCTGGGTTATTTCTTAGATGTGTTTCCCTGGTGAACTCTGCCTTATTTTGTTCTCCTTATTTTGGTAACTTAATTCAGAGCACTGGCTTTCAAGTGGAGGCTTGTTTTTAATGAGAAATGAAAGAATTGCAGAGATTTATTATGATTGATTGTGGCATTGATGAAGGGGTTAACTAGAATGAATTGAGTCTTGTGGAAAAGCAGGTGGGACAGCCCCTCGTGGGGATAAATGGAAGGAAAGGCTGTTTCCCCTTCTTCTTTCAAGTCAGGCAGGAACAAAGTCAGGAAGCTGAGAGAGGTCAGAAAAGATCCATGGGGATTTTTTTTGCTCATAAAAGAGTTTTGGGTTCTATTCCTTTTTTTTCTGGTGCAGGCTAAAAGGGTGTCTTTGCTGTTTTGTTTGCTGTCATGCTTTTTCTGTGGACTAGATCTAGGCTAAATTACCCACTTTGATCTGATCAGACTCTTATTCAGCTTCTGGTAAGACTCAATGACTTGTGCTGTAGTGAAGTTGTGATAGCTTCTTACATGCGAAAGATATCACCTTGGTGATTTCTTTCATTTCAGGAAGCATGTGAAGGTAAAGCTACAAGAGTTTTTTTTTATTATTCCCTCAAACACGAAACATTTATTAAAAAAACCAACCAACCAAACCAAACCAGGAAGGGAGAATAGGTCTGGAAAGATGGCAATTATTCTTTTTTCCTGTCCTAGCCCTGCTTGAAATATAGCAGAAATAACTATTATTTCCAGCCAAATAGGTTAGTACATTTGCATGTTTACTACCACTATGAGCATTTCCCCTGCATGTGACACATGCATAGGAGTGAAAGCATTTAAAGTAAGTGTCTATAGGCGGATCTGTACTCTGCACTCTAAGCTCCAAAAAACCAATGTGGCATTATGTGACCTGCTCAAGACAGTTAGTCCTGGGTGGATGACAATGCCTGTGCTTGGCAGTTCTGATTGCCAGGCTGGCTGGTCTCTTCTGGTGCTACTCTAAGGAGAAGAGTGGAAAACCCACTAATTGAAGAACCAGAATTCAGAAGATTCTCCCTCCCCACAACTCCCCCCATTTATAACTAATCCTTCTCATTTCACTGGATTTGCTGTTATATTCTTCCTGACAGTGAAGAAGTAGTACTGGACTGTAATTGGATAATACCCAATACAATTGTTCTTTCTTTCTCTGAACAATGGAAATTTGTTTTGATAATGGGCCGTTAGCTCACCTGCTCTATCTGGGAAGCGTGGCCGTGTGCCAGGTGTTAATATTCAAACAGCTTTTCATTGTTGCTTTGATATACTTATCAAGGATTCTGATCACAAGTCATCATTTCATAAAAATTTCTAATGGGGTGGGAGTAAAAACTTTTATTAAATGGCATGAACTTCTGTATCTGAATGTAATAAAATAATGATGTATGGTGTCTTTTTAGGGATAAGAAATTAAAATGCATATTAATTAAATTAATAATAAAAACCTTTATGAAAATCTCTTCTTCAAGTTGCAAGTAGCTGTTTAATCAAATTCTTTCCATGGAAAAATGCATTTCATTATAACATAATTAGCACATCTATTGTGTTTTTAATACAACCTGTGCTAAGGTGTGTTTGATCTGGAGTTTGCTCATGGCAATTAGCAGTAAAGGGATTGAACTTTTTGCTTTATTCCAGGCTTTGTAAATTATAAGTGCTGTATCTGGGGAAAATTGATGTGATTTTTTTTTTAAAGCACTAGAATAATCTTGGGAATATATTGGGGTAGTCATTATTAATAATGAAAAGAAATGGTAAGAAACTGTGCTACCTAAAGCTGCAAATTTTAGGGGTAATTTTTTTTTCCTGTCACAGGTGTGTACTGTTGTCACATCCTATCTAAATCCTGGGCTGCAAGAAAGCCGGAGCTTTTTGTGGACTAAAGATTAATTCTGCTTGCATCTGTCTGCAGCAGCAGATCAGAGAAGATGACAACAGCAGACCAGGGACTGGGGTGGTGGTCCTGGGGTTGCCACTCCCCCGGTTTTGTCCTATTAAGGTAATGCTGATAGACCACTCAGGTAATGGGTGTGTATGTGATTCCCCCCCAGGTGGGTGGTATGTACTGACCCAGGGGGTGAGCACTCTCTCTTCTGCAGCGTGTCCTTTACCTTTTGAGAGGAGTACTTTTGCAGTAGGAAAAAAGGGCAGGATGTCAGTAAACATGGGGTTTGGAATCACTCTGATGCCTGGCTGCTAAAATAATAAATATCTGCTTGGAAACTGAATGCATCCTGTAGCACTGGCAGACACGAGCCCTCCAAAGTCAAAGGGTTCAACCTTACCAGCTGCTGAAACCAGATTGTACTGTTGGGGCTTTTCCTTACCCCAGAAGATTTACTGATGGCTTTCCAAAGAGTGGGAGAGAACCTCCTCTATGGAAAGTCCTTTGATGAGTTTGTGTCTAGACTGAGTTCACTTAAGAGTGTAGATACCAGTGTTTTTATGCTTGACTTCACTGTGGTACAAAGCCTGATATTGTGTTGGGTGTGAAACTCATTAATGCACAGAAAATCCAAACTTGAGATTGACTTTTATGCAGTAAAAAACCCACATTGGTACAGAAATATAAAAAGAAAGTATGCAATGCAAACATCTTTATACAGTGGAACTTGAATACAGTATTCCTTAAAATAGCTTTATAAAACAAACAAAATATAGCAACTACAGGTAATACTATCTGGATGGTGCTTATCAAAGGATTTTACTTACTTCACTAAATAATTTCATTACTAACTTTACCTGTTGATACCCAATACCTTAGTTACTGATGAAAAACCTAAACTGTAAGTATTATTAGTTAGCATTCTTAATAATATACATGTGGAACCTCAATAGCATACACCATTGACTGGATTAAACAAAACAGAAGAGAATGAAGACCTGAAAAATAAAACCAAGGCTGTCATCCCAAAATGCACTACTTTTATGAAGGATGTGATCCAAAGCAGATCTGGCTGGTGGACAGGATTCTGAAAGTTTTTCTTTCCTTCATATTTGAAAATTTGTGTGATTGCATGTTGATAGTAGGCATTAATGTCCAGCTAGGTGTTCTATTGGCCAACTTTCTGCAGTAGTGAGGACTGATGTGAGACCATATCATAGTGCTTGCTATTTCCTGCCAAGAAAACATTTTGAGGGAAGGGACTGTAAATTAGAGATGACATGAATAAGTGAAGAGCAAATTTGTGAGGTTCCACTATAGTGGTTTAGGAAAAAAAAAAAGATTTAGTGTTATTTAGTTAGCTACAACATTTAAATAATCAAATCAACTAAACTAATACATACAGCTCCAAGCACAGATTCTGCAAAATTGAGTATCTATGTGACAGGTCTCTTCCTGTTGAAGGCAAAAGGAATCTGCATTGTCAGAAGCCAGACACAGGCCAGAGAACCACTTTTTACAAAGCGTATTTGGCTGGGTAACTTCCTGCATGGGAAGTTTCATTCTGTTCACTCTGTGGCTCTTTATCAGGCTAGAAACTGAACACACATTTACCAGGGCCTTCGTAGTTGCAGCTCCAAAACCTTTCTTATATTTGCAGTTCTTTTATGCAGACAGATGTGTGGCTGTGTAGCATCCTGGTTTGGAAGTCTACAATGTTTTCCTAGGTGGAAAATACCCGTTTTGCAGTACCTGCTTAGAAAACACTCAAAACAGTTTCACAGTAATGAGGCCCTTCGTTTGTTTGTCCCTGAAAATATATAATTGCTTTAATAATGTTGTATTAAAAAAAACTATTCAACCTCTTTAGAAATCTAGAGAGATTTGCAGTATTGGAGTTTGAACATTCCCCTGTTCTCCACATTTCCTGCCCTGCAGGATATATTCCACTGAGTAACACTGAGATCCTGTTTACAGAAAGAAAAACCAATTTTGCTGCTAGCTACAGCAAATTCTAGTGCACCAGAAAGGTGCCTGAAATCATCGTCAGGCTGTTAAAAATGACAGTTGAAACCAGAGCGTGCATCTAAAAACCCTGACTGATTTTATCTTTAGAAACTCATATATGTAGTAGAAGACTATAAAGCAAGAATATTCAATAGATTGGAAAGCAGGAAAAATCATGCCTGTTTTTGAAAGTGATGGAATAATTTATAATACGAAGTGATAGACCATATGTTCTTCCTCTCCTCCACTGGGTAAGCATAAGCATGGGCTATCAGTAAAGATGTTACAAAAGGGCCAGGCAAACCAGCTGGCTGGAGATGCAGGAGGTTATTCAAAACGTTCCTTCACATTGCCACTGAACCTCTCTGATCCAGTGGATGGTGACCTTGAATGTGTGTTGATGAAAACAGTACAGGAGGAGAATGATGAAGGAGAGAGTTGGGATAAAATCACTTTTAAGGAGAAGGGTTTATCGGGACAGGGAGAGGAGTTGTGTCCTAGAACTTGAGCAGGTCCTCAAGCAGCAATTTTGGGGGATAAAAAAAAGGAGTATTAGCAAGGATAGAAGTACTGGGGTAAGTCAATATACGTGTGTTTCTTTTTAACCCTGTCAGGTTTGTTTGGCTTTTTTTTTCCATGTCTGTTTGAAGTCCTAGTATGGCTTAGGCGAATCTCTGTGAGTTCTTCTTTGGCCATTGGCAGGCTCTTGATGTCTATCTGTAGTGGGAAGGAGAAAATTCATGGCTAATTTGAATTAATAGATAAAATCTTCATTTGGTTCTGATCCATAGAGCTCAGCTAACATTTTAAACCTGGGTCCCCAGTCATTCAGAAAGTCATAATCAATATCTGAGTCTGAGGAGCCTGATTCCAAAGAACTGAGAGATTCTGCAATGGACTCAGCACCTTCGTAGCCATAAATGTGAAGTGTGTCATATGGCAGCAAATCCCTGTCATTGTCAGCTTCATCCTTCTTAACCTCAATCATCATTTCCATTTCTCCAGCACCAGAAGTTATATTTCCAGGAGGCTTTTGAACTTGTGCATACGGAGAGGGGACTGCTTCTGGCTTTATACCGTTCTTGCGGACAGAGTTGAGTACAGATACATCATAGCTGGTGGTATCCATTTCACCACCACCTTCTTCATCATAAGTGACAAGCTGCTCATGAATCTCTGCCACATTCCTCCCAAGAGCGCTCAAATCCTTCTTGTGTCTTTTTCTTAGGAGAATTAGCAATGTGATTACTGCAAAGAAGACTTAGATGAGCATGTGGAAATAGAAAAGTAAGGGAGTAAAACAAATTGCATTTAAGATATAACAGTCTGAAGTGGGGTTTTTTTTTTTTTTTTTTTTGTGTGTAGTGATTTTTTTTAACACATCTCTGTTAAAAATAGTTTAAAATACTCTTTAGCTGTAGGATTTTTATGTTCTCAAAGCAGTTCAGTCTGTACAGGAATTGTACAACTGACTCTTGAGCTGAAATCATGAATACAAATGTATAGTGTCACAAGTTAATTGAATCAACTACTGCCTTAAATTGGTAAATCTTTTAATGCCAGGCATCAAATGCTGCTTAATGTGGTTATTGCAGAGGTGGCCTCTTCTCAAGCAAGAAAAGATGTTGCCTCTTCTCTGGTAGATTCCAAATACAACAAGTAGCTACTTGTAGGCTGATTTTTGTACAGGTTTATTTATGTGTATATGTTCACTGTACTGTTTAAAGGGTTTACAGACTAGTTCAGCCTTTGGAAATAGGAATCCTATTGTCGTTGACCCAGCACAAATTTCCTGTTTTGTAAGTGCATGTGAGCCTAGTAAACAGTAAATGAAGTATATTATACATACATGCAATAACCTTTCCAGTGACTCAGCTTTTCCAGTAGCTTTGTAGCTGAAACTATTCTAATAGCCAAACTGAAAGGGCAAGTGAGATGAATCAAGTGGTTACAGTGTTTCTGCCTTGGTGACCATTTTATAGTCACAAAGCTTTTGTAGATCTCGGTTAAAAAAAAAAAACAAACCAAACAACAAACCAATCCCCACATTTTAAGTCAGAAAACGCTACAGAAGTCAAATACTTACCAATGATTGTGAAGATACAAATAAAAATTGCCACCAGTGCTTGTATACTAACTCCAACTTGTTTAGCTCTTTCCTCACAAAAAGTGAAGTTGCCTTTTTCATTACACTTGCAGACACTGATGACAAGTGTGTTTGTGCTGCTGAGGACAGGCTCACCGTTGTCTGAGATGATGACAGGCAGGTAGTGGATTTTGGCAAGTTCACGATTAAACTGTCCATATTTGACAGTGATATTAGCTGTGTTATCTGGAAGAAGCAACAACATCTAATTAAGTGATAATCTCTACCAGATTTTCCTTATAGATTATCAGTCAGTTGGTACATCTTCCCTTTAGACACCAGCAGCCTTCAGGGAACCCAGTGAAACTTACGTGGCAACAAACAATGTTTTTTTCCACTAAACTAAGCCTTTAAAAATAAATTGTTACTTAACTCAGCTAGACCAGTCCTAAGTAATAGCTAAAGCTTTTCTCCCCTGTGTCCTAGTGTCTCATGCTGGCTAGCTGAGAAAATGCATTGCAGGGGTACGCTACCGTGGTTCTCAATCAAGGAGAAATTGCTATCTTCTGTGGCCAGGTAGTAGCTGAAGAAACCTCTAGATGATACTTCATCCTTGTCAGTAGCTGAAATCCTCACGATTACCTACAGAGATGGAAAAGGTCATAATTTTCAATATACGTTGCCTCTAGTGATAAAACCACTTATAGTATTTAAGTTAGAGCTGGGCTGTGTATCCTATATAATCCTTCAGTAAAGGGCAGGACAAAGTTATCCTGTGATGCTCCCCTTCAAGTTCTTCCAAGGCAAGGAACTTCCTTGTAGGTCTCCAGAAAGAGTAACCTTGCCCCTCCATTCATAGATAGGAAACAAAAGAACAAATCTTGTGTAATTAAAGCATAAAAAAAGTCTTAGGCTGAAAGACATATGGCTCATTTAAATACCTAAGATGACTGTCTTCTAAAAAGTGCTCAATTTATTTACAAGCATGACTCTCATTCGTTGAATGTCGTTGAGACTGCCACTCCTGAATGACAGGCTTGTTTTTGAAAACCTTAACCTGGGGTACATTGCATGTTTGAAATATAAAAAATGTGTGTATGATTATGTCCCAAAGGTATTTTTAAAATTAAATGAAAGGCAAAATAGTGCCATGTGTGTTCTAACAGATTCTATCAGAGAATCCAGTCTGTGACGAAGTCTCTCAATTAAACAAACATTACATCTGTGCTCCAGATATTTGTCTGAGGCCAACCATCCAAACCCACAAACAGTAACACTGTTTGTGCGTGTGGGTACTTGCACTCTGAGGAAGACTACAATAATATTATATGCAGCAATGTTTCTCGTAGTATTTTGAAAGGGTTTCATTCCCTGTGTCATGGATGAACATTTGTGTGATAAAACTGAATTGCAGATGTTTGCTCTGCGAGGCTTGGCTGTGCTTCATGGCTCAGTTGCTAAGCCACGGACAGACGTGAAAGCCTGGAGGGAGAGGAACTCTGCAGCCTGTGTGCTAAGCTGAAAAAAAGTCAATATTCCAACAGTGTAAAGTCCTGAAGGGAGATCTCTGACCACTGATGTTTCAGCAATCAGTGAAATGATCAGGTACTTGGGTATGAAAACTGAGACTTTTATTAAAAGACATCTTTTGCTTGAGCTGGCAAGAAGATAACTCAGGTTTAAGGGAAATACTCTCCCTCTTGTCTTACCTTTCCTGGTGCAGCATTTTCACATACTCTGGGTTCCTCAGGATAAACGAGTTCTGGAGCATTATCATTTACATCAATAACTATTACATGAACTTGAGCATGTGATTCTAGGTCAGAAAGGCGGCCTGAAATGACAACAACAGGTCTCTGAGATGTTGGGAATCTAGTGCTCTCTAGTCCCCACTTTCCACTGTTTGTGTCCACCCCTGTGACTCCTGTGTGACAAAGATGGAGAGCTAGCTCCATCATTAAATTAAACTTTTTCTTTGACAGGTTCAGAGATTTTCCTAAAAACCTTTCCTGTTGGGCTAAATCATCAAGGATCTATGAGGAAGAAAACTGCAATTGCTTAAGGCTTCCTGATTCTTCAGACTGTGTAGCTGGCTGTGGGATCCAGCATGGTTCTCTGGCACTAAGGCAACAGGCACAGAGCAGGCCATGTCTATGTTATTACATATCTTTCACCCTCCAGAAAAGGCTGATCTCCCCAAAAGTGACTTGGCACTTCGTCCCCCCCGGCCTGCCCAACTTCCTGAGCCTGCACGAAGCTATGTGGGGGTGCCTGGCAGGGATGCTCCCCACATGGCAGTGTGGGAGGGGGATTTTGTAACTCTGCACAAGTGCATGAAGCATGCTGGGATGTTTCTGCCCTAACCACAGGCTTATCCATGTTTCCCAAGCTGCTTCCTTTCCTCGTGGCCTTTTTATTCCTTGTAATAAACTGAATGTATTTTCATAATAGCTAGGGGCCAGATTTTAAAACTGTATTTGACCTATTTGTAGATACCCATTTCATGTGGAAAATTATTGTGCAAACCATGTAAGTGTTTGTTTCATTTTTAGCTTAGTGGAAACAGGCTGTCAGGTTGTGACTTTCCTTCCTGATACTCTACAGTCCTGCTGTAAAGTTATACACAGATCTCTTGTAAATAGGCAAGTGGATAGCACTCACCATCTTCAAGGATTTCCCGAGCTGCTACAGTGATGTTGTATGAGGAACTGAATTCTCTGTCCAGGGGCTTGGGAATTTGGAGAATTCCAGAGTCAGATACCCTAATATAGTCTCCATTAGGACTTGCTCTTCGTCGAAGAAATCTGTTTTTTTTGTTTAAAAGAGTTATGTCAATGCAAGGGTGATAATACTGTTTCACTTCAGGTCTTCGTAGTGGAAGGTCAGAGAGTTCTTGTGTGACAAATTATGTTAATATCTTGACCAGGCGGTCTCAGAATATTTCCTTAAAATTATGCAGGCTGTGAGGGTGAGATATATCCACTGGAAAATCTTTCAGATTATTGTCTTTTGGTGTTTCAGAAGTCTCTTTTCTTTTCAAAGCATATGCTTGGATGAGTTATTACAATAAAAAATGTAACAACAAATTATAACCATTCACAGATACTGAGGATTATGCATTTTCCCATAAATGTGCAAATGTCTTATTAGTAAGTTTATGTGGTAGTTACATGGGTAAATGCAATTTATGTTAATATTTTTTGTTACCATATATATCCATGGCTGCAGTGTCAGAAACTTTTTTTTTTTAATTGGCATGCAGATTCTGAAAAATAAGGCCAAATCTCAGTTCTCTGTCAAATTCTTGGAATCATTAATGAATTCTCTACTTTAAAATAAAATAACTAAAGCTAGTGTTGTGTTACCTTATTTTCCGTTTAGCTGCATCAGGGTCATATGCCCAGACTGAACCAAGACTCTGTTCTGGATCATTTTCCTTTACTTTAAATTCGTATGGTAGTTTTGTGAAGACAGGAGGCTCATCCACATCAGTGACTTCGATGGTGACTGTTGAAATGCTCCTAGGCCCACCAGATTTAAAATAGCGAAGATCAACTGTGGGATCTGTTGCTTCAATGTCAAACCTGTATTCTGCTACCTTTTCGAAGTCCAGGGGCTAGAAAAATGACAGAGACAGATATTCTTCCTTTGGAGATGTCTAAGTAAACTTTGCATTAGCTATCTGTGCAAAGCCCTGTGCTCTAATTCGTGTTTGGAAATAGTACCAACTTGTATCGTAGCTAGACACTGGGGAGAGCATTTCCAAACTGAAATTCCCTTTCCATAGAGCGATGTGAGCAGCTTCTGGTTTTGGGCAGATTCATCCAGCATTCTAATTTAAACCAATTATTTCTTGGTTTAAATAGCTTTCTTTTTGTAATTCTGTAGCTTATTTACCTTCTTGTTTACCTCTTTTTTTTGCAAAGGCTGGGGACCAGATTCTCCTCTTCTTGGCTAGGCTTTCCATTCTGCAGTCATTCAAGGCAGACTTCATAGCTGCACTGACTGATAGCTGGGGCATTTAGTGGTAATTATCTGCTCCCTTGTTTGTTTTCCCATTGATTGAGATGATAAAGGAATCACACAGTGGAAGGAAGGCCAGGTAGTAAGAAATGCTCAAGCTATCACTCATTTCAAAGTTTGGGTCCCTTTGCACTATAGCCTGAGATTATAAAAGCACTAGTGCAATAGCCAGTAGTTAATTGTTGTGACTTGTTTTTCTCTTTGAGTAGACATTGCAAATGGCAATGCTTAGCTAGTAGTTGAATTTTTATCTCAGATGGCTGTATAGTTAAAATTATGAGACGTGCATGGCCAAAAACCTGTTACAAAACAGTGGGCTGAACTTTGCCTGCTGCGTGTTAAAAGATGAGCTGATGGCAAATCACACAGTGTGTGTATGTGCGGGGTCTCTTATTGGTCCTCCTTTGGGCAGCAGTTGTGACCAATGTGTTCCTCAGGTCCTGGAAAGCCCAGGGGAAGGGTTGCATTTGGTGAGGGAAAGCTGCTTACACTGAGTGTGACTGTGGCTGAAGAATTTACTGCTGGTCTTGGTACTCTTTTCCTTAAATTTTTTTCTTCTTCTTAATGACAGCTCTGGTCTTAACAGTTGCAGAGAGGCATTTGGAAGTGAAAAACACATTCCTGTCAATCTGAGGATTACAGGAGGTGATTTATTGTCCTCCCTCCTCTTTTTTTTTTTTTTTTTTTAATGTAAGTCAGTCAAATCAATGAACTCTTGGCTTGGCAGTGCTTCTCATAGCACAGGAATGTCCCTTGGTACAAATCAAGTAGGTCTGAGAGTTAAAAAACAGAGACCAAACCCTAATAAAGGCTTTGGAGAGTCTGAGCCCTCTTACAGAGTTATGAGGAATTTGTGGGGAAGCTCTGTAAATGCTCTGAGGAAAGTATGGGAGATGTGGCTCATAGTGGAGCAAGTGCCAAACTAAAAACCACTTCTAGAAGAATGGCTAGGTGGACTTGTTCATGTTTTCAAATTTGGTTTCTCTTAGGGCTGCAGAAGGGAAAAATTCTTTGACTTGGTTTGTTGGTTCAACTCTTATAATCACTGACACTTAGAGGCATGAAAGTATCTGAAATTTGAGAGGAGCCTGAAGTGCTTAAGTTAAATTTCTGAATTAGTCCCCATTGCATTCTGCCATCTAATTCTAGATTTTCCCAGGAATGGCAGTAAAAATGGACTAGTAAATCACCAGCTCTTCTCACAGAGCTTACAGAACAGAGTTTTCATGATGAATGGAGAGTTTTCATGGAGACTTCTACACAGTTCCGATTTTCCTGCCATTAGTCCCAAACTGAATTAAACACTTTTGTTACACATGGAAAAAAAAAATAAGTCTTTGTTACTGGGAAAAGTACCTTTTTTGGCCTAATGATTCCTTCATTGGTGAATGGATTCGCTACAATTTCAAAGGTATCCCTGTAATCTCCTCTGACAAAACTGTATTTCGTATTTCTATGTTGTGGTTCATCAATATCTTCTACTTTGACTTTGCCAACTTCTCCTCCTACTGAGATGTTTTCAGGGACTTTAAAGTGAAATGATGCTGTTAAAACAAAACAAACAACAAAAAAAGATATAGAGTGTGTAAATGGAAGTTAGAAACTAGTTAAAATTTGTTCTTATAGACATACAGAAAATATTTCATTGAGAATTCATCATTATGTATCTATATACACATAACTGATGTGTTTTTCATAAAAATATAATTAATTCATAAAATTGTAAAAATCTTGTACAAAGCAATGAAATGAATACTGATTTTTATTTTCTCCTCTAGGTGTGCATCACCCAGGAAGTGTAGCTGGGGCTGAAATACAGAAGATCTTCTGAATATATAAGATTCTTTGTCCACTTTTAAGAAAAGTTGAGTTGTGACAAACTCTGACATAAATTGGTTATAGTTGTGTCAATGCTTGGTTTCCAAATGCTACAGCCCGTGCATTGTACTTACGGTGTTTGAATACTGGGAAGTTGTCATTGATGTCGGTTAAAGAGATAATCACTGTGGCTGTACTTGACTCTCCAAAAGACCCTGGAGCATCTTTTGCCCTAACAATAATTTCATATGTTGATTGATTCTCTCTATCTAGATCAGCCCTTGTTGTAGATATAACACCTGTGGGGGGAAAAAAATAAAAAAGGACGAGGATTAGATTTTGCAGCGTGTCCAACATCTCTTCATTTTGACAGCAAATGTTTGTCTTATGCCACAAATTCAGCTTTAAGTAGCATTTTTACAGTGGTATTTTTCTAAGTCTAGAAACAGAAATCTTTCTACATGGTGGAATATTTTGGAGATTTTGTACAGTACATTCCTTTAAACTGATCTTTGCTGCTTAAAAGCAGTCTAATGATGTCTAAATTTGGTCACTACAGCATCTAGAGAGTTTCTATGAGCATCTCTTATCTGAGTTATTTGTTCCAGAGGACTAGTCTGGTTACAAGAAATAGTGGCATTATTTTTAATACTTGGCAAAATTAAAGAAGAAAGTTTAGGAAAGCAGTGATTATTGAATACTGCTGTGGAATGTATATATTCCCTTTTCCTGTTTGGTCAAAGGAGTGGTGTCTATGCTAAACTGAAAATATGAACTTATATTAGCTCCTAGTCAGTCTATCAGTGGGGAAAAAAATTAGCATTTTTCTTCTCATTTAGTTCATGGCACCTAGTATCCCAACTTTATTAGTTCATTTCCAGATGCAGACACAGGTATTGTGTGAGTGTGAATGAAAAATCTTTCTAAATTATGGTCAAAATTATATTTTTGAATTATTATTCCCCTTGTCCAGAGTAAAAAAGGCTTGAAACTGCGAAAATGTAAGGTAAGGACAAAATGGACAAAAAAGGACATGCGTGTATCTGACCTACCAGAGTCATCAACTGTGAAATACTCGTCTCCTTTAATGACTTGGTAGGTAACTGTGGCGTGACCTGTAACTGTTGGGTCATCAGCATCTACAGCTGTCACTTTGGTGACTGAGGTTCCTAGAAAAGGATTTTCAAACAACATATTTAGTATAAATTCTGCTTTTGAACCACAGGCTGGAAAGGAAATGAGTGATGGAAGAACATACCTACTGGTGACATTTCTGGGACAGATCCATTGAATACTTTTTGTACAAACACAGGGACGTTGTCATTAATATCATAAACCTTGATAATGAATTTAGATGGGGGTTCCAGTGACTGGTTGTTTCTGCTGTCAATAACGAGAGCTGTCAGTTCGTACTCTGCTTTCTTTTCTCTGTCTAGCCTCTCGAATGCATATACATCACCACTTTTTTCTTCCACTTTAAAAATGGTGTTGGCATATTCACCTTCAATAATATACTTAGCGTATTGGTTCCTTACATTTGATGTGATCTAGAAGGAAAGGATAATTCAAAGAGATAAAAGTGGGCTTTGGCATCTGGATGCAACAGAATATCTACAGAAGATACACAATCAGAACTTCTTCAGGCTCAGTTTGAAACCAGAACAGCCATCAAGACTTCTGATGTCATCTGATGTATTACTGAAGAAACAGTGCCACAGCAGCTACAACCATGCAGGGTTAGAGGACAAAACTTGTCTCTAGACTGAAACTTGCTTGCTTATATATCAAGAAGCAATTTTTTTTCCAGATCGTATCTCATACTTCCTAAATGTGTAAATTGTTCATGGAGTTAGCACATACAAATTATTAAACTCATTATGTCTGAATTAACACACGCCACCATGTTCAGCTTGAGCTACTCTTGTTTGCAAGTAACCTTCTGAACTTGGCAGAGGTTTTGCTTAGATTTCACAGAATTACAGAATCAAATCTATATTCACAGATACTGACATTATTCATCATTAGTCTCTATTACTTAGCGTTTAGCACAATTCCTGCTATAGCTGACAGCTTTCTTGTGTCTAGTCACATGCAATTTTTTTGTAGTCAGTCTTTAGGCTCATGCTATGACAGTAAGATTAAATTTACACTCCATAGATTTTAAAATTCAAGTTTATATGCAATGAAAAAGGGATAGGGTAAAAGGAATGAACATTAATCAGTTTTAAAATGTAATTTTATCTAATGTCAGATGGTTTTGCACATTATTTAATCTGCAGATAATCTGATGATTCTTCCCTTTCTATACCTTCTTCCATCTAAGGAGACAGATCAAAGGTTTAAACCACATTTTCCATGCACTATATCACCATTCTTATTTCAGCAAGCTATTTATCAATAATTGCTGGATTTGACCAAGAATTTCTAGTCTTTCGTTGCTGATGTTATCATAAATTGCATTCAGGATTTGATTTATCCTACAGATGTCGTTTACTGTTGAACACACTTTCATCTGTGTTTTCTATTTTGAAACATGTCATTAAAACTTTCTTCCCTCATTCCACATACTTAATCATGCTTCTGGCTGCTGGGGCTGCTGAAGAACGTTTTACAACTCTGGAGCTGTAACATGAGAAATAACCTCACCCTTGTTCAAAGATAGTATAGTCTGTGCTGCCTTTCTCAATTTTTATTTACTTGTTTAGTGTAAAAGGTATAGACTTCCAATATTGCCTTTTCTAAAACTGAGGGTGAACATAAAAAGGAGAGCACCCAAAGCTGTGAAAGATAAAACTAAAATGTATCAGCAAACTCCTGCAGCTGTCACTCTGCTCTGCCACGCTGCTGCTGTCGCCTTTTTTAGGGGGTTTATTGAGTGTTGGGTCCTGCAGATGCAATGCACTGAACACATCCATTGCAAAAGTAATCAAAAGCATTCCGCTGCTGAAAGACCACAGAGCACAGTACAAAGTGAATTACTCTTATTTAGGGCAGCCCCAGGAATAGAAGCGTTCTCCTCAATCTGCCTCTGAATTGGTCTGAAGTGAAACAGAGATACCCTGTGTTAGCTGAGAGTACCCTATGGCCTCTTTTCTCTCTCTCTTTGGTGTTTTCTGCCAGTGAGCAGCACTGGCCCAGAAAGGTCTGGTTCACTTTGCCGAAACAGCCTTGACAGATGCTGATTATTGTACATGGGAGGAAAATGTAGAACTGCATTTATCTGAAAAGTGTCAAAGTAGTTCAATTTGAAAGACTAGATGGGAAGAACTTTGTCTGGGTGTTATGCAGTTAATTGTAGGATTTTGAGTGCTGCTCTGAAGAAAATGAGTTTGCAAGCAGGTCAATGCTCACTACTTTTAAAAATCATTTTCTTCCATTTTGTGAAACAAAGTTTTTGCTTGCACAACAGTATTCCTAAACATAGCACTTCCATTTTGTAGCCAAGCTGAGAGACATAAACCGTATGTTTATCAATGGGTATGTTTTTATTAGCTGATCTCCTAGGTTTCTGGAAGAATTGTGATCTGCCAGTGACACACCGACACTCCTCGGCTGCCAGGCTTCCCTCTGCCTGTGCCCCTGCACGCAGCTCACGGGCTCTGCCCATGCCTTTCTCCAACATCTAGCTGTATTCTTCAAAAGAGTTACAATCCCTTTGACATCATTTCCCCTTTATTCTGTGTCCACATTCTGAAGATTTTAACATGTTAGTATGTTGGCATTATGTCCCATTTCTATCTCCTTTTTTTCCTCTTCTGCCTAGACTGCAGACAGGTAATACTTTTCACGATTCTCCTTTTCTGTCTGTATTTCTAATTATTCACTGCTAACAGACTGCTGATTACCTTGCCAACATGGTGTGGTAATTGTGTGTCGATCTCTTCCTTGATATGCATTTGGTTCCATATCCAGTCTCTCTTCAGTCGTTTATGACTAGCGTTGTTTGAAGAAAAGTTTTGGGTTTTTTTCTGACTTTCTTTGTCAGCAAATGCTTGAGCCAAGAACAATGAGAAAAGTAGAACAAGATGGTTCATCTTCTACTGCAGCCTAGAAAGTAATATAAAATATGAAAACTCTATAAATAACAACAGAATCAGGTTAGGGCACACATAGAAGTGCAAATGGACTTTTCTTCTATAGAAAAGTTTAATTACTCTCTGTATTTCTTTTCATCCACCTTAGCATCTAAATTTGAAATATCAGTCTTCTTCCTTCCATGAAACAGTTTTAATTAGGTGACAACTGTAAAAAACAATGAAAAGATTTTAATGAACTAAAAAATGTGCAGGTTTTGCAAGCTAGCATAAAGAGCCAGCACCCACCTGAGCTACCGTACTTAGCGTGAAGGGATTCAGTAGCAAAGGTCAGCCACTGTGCAGTGTGGCAAGTGGAGTGTGGCTACAGAGCACAGCTCGTGGCAAGAGGAGCCATGGGAAGCAGCACCGAGGCTGAGCCAGATCAAAGTTTATGTTGAAATGAAATGTTCCAGCTTGACAAACCCAAATACAGTGTTTTGACTTGCCCTGGCACAAAATGTGTGGTAATCAATTTCTTCATATGGAAAATATTGATTTAGAATAAAAGCTTGGGTTTTTGTTGAAAAAAAAAATGATTACTGTGAAATTTTCAATCAATTCCAAGTACAATGTAGCAAATTGTCATGCTCAGAGAGCTCATTTATTGATTCAATTCCTTGCCTTTTGAAACGTTTGAAGACATATACAGTACCTTTATCCTCTATTCTCAGGTTTTACCATCTACAAAACAATAATTTGAGAAATTATTTTCAGGTGAAACAATATTTTTTGTATCATATGTTAATATTAGCAAACTTTGGACCTGACTTCCATATCAGATTGAGATCTTATTTTAATGTAGCAAAGTTGATTAATTTTCTTACTCTATTTCTGCTTTCCAGTATAGAGGACTGTCAGGGAACTTTAACACTCAGATAATTAGTCTTTAAATTACACGTAAATGAGTTTCCCTTAGCTTTCAGGAGCTGTCAACATCCACATCCAAAATAAAACCATTAATTGAGATAGAGAAGGTGACATCACGCAGGTTGCTAGATGTGAGATTAAATTAGTACTTTTGGCAGGAAGGTGTTGAGTTGTTACCAAAATTACTTCTTGGTAAGTAGGCAATCAATCTTATCCCATGGTGCTGCATCGTTGTTTGTAAAAGGATTTTATTTACCATGAAGTATTGCTTTTCTGTATTTTTCTGTCTTCTACATTGTTGTACATCAGCCCAATCTTTGTGATGGCATAGGAAATGACCAAAGAAGGTGGCTCTGAAGTTGCTTTTTAATAGCTAACGTGTGTGCTACAGTTTTATGGATTCATATAAAACTTGATTTACCTAATTTTTTTTTTTTTTTTTGTATTCTGTGCACTTTGATTCTGAATATTTTTAGAAAAATTAGTAAGATTTAGTGGTTTTGCTTTGGTTTATTTGTGTACATGAAAATTCTGCAACTGGAAGCTGGAAAGCATTGATATGAATCTGTTGTGATCGTATAAGTCTGTCTTTTATTCATAAAATTGCAAAACATGATAACCAAAGGAAATCAGGTGGTTAATGTCAACTAGTATAGGCTGTAGTTTTGGAAAAAACCCAGACTGTAGTGTTTTAAAAGTTCTTTTCTCTTGCTGCTCTGGTAGAGCAGAGGTGTCCTGCACTGCTATAGGGAAGAGATTAGTTGGGAAACAGAGGTCAGTGCTATACAATGCCATGCCTTTCACTGGAAGTGATACATTGACAAACAGCCTTGCCAAAAGCATTTTTAACTTCAATAGTCAAATCTCCACTAAAGCATACTGGTCTCAGTGTAAATCTATTTTGTAAAGAGAGATTTTGTGCCTTCCTACTAGTATTTTCCTAGTATTTGTCTCTCTGTTTACTAATGCTCAATTCAGAGCCCCTGTCAGACTTCTTGGGGTAATCCTCTTGCTGTTGCTGAGTGATAACTAGTAACAACAACTCCAAGACTTTTGGTATCCTCATACAGGGGCACTGCTTATTGGAAATTGAAGGCTCCAATTCATAACAAGCGTGTGGTTATCTGTACAGGAGCTCTGGGACTGTGGTAATATCCTGATTATTCCTGAGGATTCATACAGCAAATGCAAACTCTCCTCTGAAGTAAGTGACTCATATGTATTTCACATTTAGGCCTTGTTTGAAAGCTTGGCTGTTAATACAGAAAGCACTAGACTGAATCTTTTAAAATGTAAGCACATTTCAGCTGAAACTTAAGCTACCGCTTCCACTCCGCAGACCCATCTTTGTGTTCTTAGATTGTAAGGTGGCTTCGCTTCCTTTAACTCCTCCTTAATTGATTTCTTGTTAATATTCGTCCAGCTTCCTTAGTAAGTTAATGGTTCCTTTGTGAGTAACTTACTGGATTTTAGTCTGTCCTCTGCACTGTAGGTCAAACACAAAGATAGAAGTGCCTCATGAAAAAAAAAGGCTTCAATTTTCTTCGGTATCTTTCAAAATTTCTCATCTGGTAGAAGTGACACTGCACACTCGAGCACTTTGCATGCTGTCTTTTCTAGGGTTATTTGATGTACGTTGCTCCATAGGACAGTCTGACTCTGAGAAGACTTCCTATATGATGCTATCCAAGTTTTCCATTCAGCAGCTGGAAGCCCATCACTGTTGAATCTGTAGCTGAATTAATCATAATATTTAAGAATGCCCTTCTCTGGCAGCACATACAAACCCTTCAGGAGCAGGACCCTGTCGAGCAGTAACTGGGTAAGGGCACTGTCCTGGTGTGAAGGCCACGTTCCGTGGATGTTAGCACTTGACAAGGTATACTCAGTGCTCCTTTTTTTGGCCGTGATAGCTTTCCTTCTCTGCAGAGCTTATTTGAAATGCCGGAGAGAGCAGCAGAAGAGAGATACTCCCACGTCTGAGGAGGGGAATGCATTCCCATGGAGTCAGAACCAAGACAGTTTCTGAGGGATGACAAGTGGATGGCATGTAGGGATTGGCTTTCTGTTTCTTCTGACGTCTCCTGTGGCAGCCAGGGCAGGAAAGAAATTAAGATGCAGCCTTTCAAGCCATGACCCCTGTGGCCACACGCTTCCGGAGAAGGGGACAGCACCGCGTGTGCTGGGACTGACCTGTCCCACGCGTGGCTCTCCTGGGCGTGCTGCCAGGAGCTCCCATCGCTGGTCCGCCTCACTGTGCAGCCTCCAGTTACCTCTCTGCCTCTAACTGATCAGACCAGTAATTCAAGTTTTTTCCATCTATGCAGGGGCCATAAATGTTCTTTAAAGTTAGGAGAAGAATGGTTTATTCAAATAGCTAAGTTTCTTGCATTGCTCTTAAGTTTTATTTCAGCAAATGATAGTTTTTTTCACCAACATTATTCATTTTCTGTGTTGAATTATTTTAGCAAATAACTCTTGATCCACAGGGCACTATAGACAGTTAACTGAGAAATTCTGTTATTAAAACTAATTTATGGGACACGGCTCATACAGTGTAGTTTCTTCATGCTGATTGGGAGGAATTATTAAAAAAATGTGAAGTGGAGATACAGACAATACTGTACTAATTAAACATTTGCATTTTACATATTGTTTTGGTAAGTAATCAGCTACGAGGGTGATGAGAAGCTAATATAAATAAGGTCTCTGTGTAATGAAAACACATTTAATGAAATATTCTTATGGATGTTGATTTTTTTTTCTGATATTTGCCTCTTACCTGGTTTACTTCTCACTCTAAAAATGTATTTTAATGCTTATTAGTTAGTATTCTTGCATGTTAAATAGAAGTTAAAGCAAGTTTCTGTATGGAGACACTGGTAAAAGAGGAGAGATTGTAGCTGAAATTATGTATTTTTATGGTAGATTGAACTAAAATCTTTTTCTAATCTTTGTAAATCTTCGTTTTTTACCATCTGAAAAACAGAAATAGTGCTAGAAATACTGATAAGGAACATCCTAAGAGAGAAAATTGCTTGAAGTAGCTATCATACACCAGAAAAGAAATATATTTTAAAAGTTTTATATCTGTATTGTTCAGTTAATTTGCATACTTGATTGTCAGAAAAGCCAGAAATGAAATTATTATTTATAATTGCACTGAAAACTTAATTTTTTTTCCTTACAGTGTCTTGTTTGGAATCTGAACAATATAAATGAAAAATCCCACGCAAAAATGAGTTTCATCAAAGCAGAAAATATTAACAAAATTAGTAATAAATCAATATTATAGGACATAGTCGATGCCCTTCCACAGTACTGGAAATTTTCTGTTTCTGGTTGTTAACCAAACCTCAGCTGTCATGTCTGCAGCCCTGTGAAGGTTGAGACTGCTAGATATCTATCAAATATAAAGCCCACATTCACTCAATTGGGAGGAATGCGGGGCTTGAAGGAGGGTGTCTGCTCATCTCAGCTGGCCCCCACCCTGCGGTGTCCCGGGGAGCAGGATGCTGTGATAGCTGCATGCCCGTGAGGACGCACTGCCTGTGCTAAAAGAGAAAGAAAACTAAGAAAACATTCTTCATGGAAGTTTTTTTTTTTTTCAAAGAAGTTGACTTTGGATAGATTTAGTTTAGTTTAATAAGTATTTTCTGACTTTCTTTCCCCCTCCTAAGTGCTGTACTCTCCCCAGTATTCCTAAGTAACTCTGTGAAAAAAAAATTCTTGAATTTGCAGTGGCTTAAACCCTACAATACAAAGTAGACAACACTGCAAAAATCTTTTTCAGATGCAAAAAATTTACTTTGATACACCATCCAAACACCTCCAAAATGGCTATACTCAGTGAAGCCATGAGAGATATAAAGAGAGCAGGATCTGACCTCTCATCAAGTAATAAAATGACCCTGAGCAACGCTGCCATACAGAATCCATTTTTAACATTAATTTCTCATCCGTATCATGTTTAAGACCAAAGGTTAATGTGTGAATGCAGTGAGCATTAAGAAATAGAATGGTAACATACCAAACACAGGAAGGGGTAAAATTATCTCCTTTGCAAGTCCTGCAATTTTGGTGTGCAGGTA